TAAGGCAGCAGGGAAACTTAATCTCATTCTTCGGAAAAGGACAGTAGGGTTCTAAAGTGGGAAGAAAGCAGTTACCAGGTACTATAATTCTTTAAGATGTGCTGTGGTTCTGCACATTCACCCTGAAAGCGCTCTGCACTCGAGCACTTTGGAAGACAAAGATGGCGAGAAGTGAAATGTGTATGAATAAGATAATTTAAGAGATTCAGTTAGTAGTAAGCATTTTCTTTTCCATATTTAAGCGATTAACCTTTTACAAACATGGTATTATGGATGACTTCCATACAGCAACCTACTTTCCCCCAAAATCACAACTGTCTAGAGGTGGATCTCGGTGTCCTTTATGCTCTTGTAAGAGCTTCATCATTCTGAAAGCCTCTGCAATATATAGTGCCCTTCCAGGTGAAAGTGTACACAAGCTGCATGTGACAACTTGGCAGATGTCAGCAATGGAGACTTTTCTTGGAGAACCCAACACCACAGAGTGAATTCTGGTGGAACGTGCCACTGTCATGGAAGGTAGCTTTGCCTTGGCTGTTCTAGTAGGCTGTACTGCAACTGCCAAAATAAAATGTCCATACAAAGTCAGACTAGAAGACTGCCTAGCCCACCTCTTGTCTCTGACAGTGGCCAACAGCACATGCCTGATAGACAAGCTAAAAATTGGAAAAGCCCATTGTGATACTTCGCCAGAATAGTCACTTGAAAAGTCTTAGAAACTTCCTGCTTGTTTTTTAGTTTTAATATTTAATATGCCCAATAGATTACTTTTTCATGGATTTGTCTACTTGTCTTTTCAAACCACATACACTTTTTTGTATCCACAACATCTTGTGACAAGGAGTTCCATAGATCAATTACATACTGTGAAAAAAAATCGTGCACACCCCCCCTTTTTTTTTCCTTTGAATCTGGTATCTGCTAGTTTCATTTGATGCTCCTATTTCTTCTAGTTGGCAAGACTGTGAACAATTACTCCCTTTTCACCTTCTCCCTTACACTCCTCCTTGCCCATCTCTTTTCCAATTAGCCACTTTCTGCATGAAGAGAACTATGAATGTTAAGTTTTGTGCTCTTGGTATAACCAATCTCAAGGACTGTTTGACTGACCTGATTCTGTAAAGATAAAATAAGGTTCTCCTGATATTTGGTGTAAACAAGGATGTCTTAGCTCTAGAAACATGAGGTTCTAGAAAGAAGAAAAGGAGGTAAAGTCCCAGGTTTAAGTAAAGCTCAGAAGCTTCTTTTGGAAGAACCTCATGACAGATCCACAGGAGTAATGTGTCCAGAAAGGAAGTAGTATGAAAAGGATCAATTAGCCAGTTACTTACTGCAACCAAAAAAATCCAACTATTTAAACACCAGCAAATAACCCACCCAGATTCAAACAGTGAGCCCAGGATTATCATGAGCAGCAAATGCAGGACTGACTGAGGAAAAAGTCCTTGGCAGTTTGATCATGTAAATCTTAACAAAAATAAATCGGGAGCCAGACTACTTTTGTTTCCAGCAAATAATCCAAAATGACTGGAACCGTTGTATTAGTAGAAGGCACAGGCCTGAAAGAATGCAAGCCGAGAATCCAGTCTGTTCTGTAAACTTACCTATAAGTCAATGATCTCCTTCACAGGTAAAGAAGAGGAATGGTCCAGCACTGCCAGCTATTCAATTCCATGCACACAGAGACTATCCATATTCCGGTATGAGGAAGAGGCACAGCATTGAGATTCCTACTAGTAAACAAAGGTCTTTATACCAAAACCTCCTGCCACTGTGTGGAACCAGTATCAGAGATATGTATGTTGACCTTCCAGACATCATAATGAGGAGCATTTCCAACAAACCATGATCGTCCAAAAGCATATCTCGTCTTGAGAATGGAAATTTCAGTATGTCTCGTTGGCATCCAAGACTAAGTGGTCTATCTAGTGTCACAAATGATCTCCCACTGATGGCACTCACATGACTTGTGAGGCTGTTTTAAAGGCCAAGATGAACCATGTAAAAGTGAACTTAATACTTCACGTACTGCGTACAAGTCAGCTGCTTCTGGAGAGGAGAGAATCTAATATCCTTCCCTTAATTTTTACGTTGTGGTATGCTCATCACCTAAACACAGAACAAAACGCTCTGCATTACCTCAGCCTCCAGGACTCTGATGTGCACCTTACTCCTTTCAAGACTAACAAGCCTGATTCTCTGTCATTGGAACAGGCCCCTTAACTTAGAAGTGATGCAAACATCATGGAGTAGGAGAGAAGAAGAGGACCCCTTGATTATATTATCCAGTCTCACCACTGAAGTAGATGCTGAATGATTTTTGAGGCTTTCTAGTGGTAATTTTGTTTTCTCACAGTAAACAAAGGCACTTTCGATGAAACTCATTGATGAATACAGGGAAGTAAATGTCATAAAAGCAGAGACAAACTAATCCCCACTTGAGGAGCATGTATATAGTTGTACTCCTCTCATGTGCAACTATTATAAATCCAAAATGGTTTGCTATTCTCCTTTCCCCCCTTGTACTAGAAAACACTTCCTGTAAAATGCCTTCTCTCCAAGATGTGTGGGAAAGTTCTATGCCTCCCCACTGAATCTCTCAACTGAAGCACTCTCTGAGAGGTTTTTGAAAAGGGACAGACATGGAGGTAGCAGAGCTGCAAAGAGACAAAATATATATGTTATCCTTCAGTACACAGTATCCACTATGCACAAAGACATACATGACTCCAGGCTGAGGAGTACAGAGAGATGGAAAAAAATAAGAGGCTGGAATCGCAGGATTTGTTCCTGATTCTCTATTGCACATGCTCCCAAGGTAACAGCATTTGTGCTCAGAGCTGGGATCAGCAGATGCCCAAGGCAAAGGAATACTGCTATTTCCTTTGATGCTCTGACTGCCCTAATATATCCTGAGGCTGAACAGGTGTTCAAGGTCTAGGTGTTTGGCTCGAGGTAAAGGACCAGTCTTGATATCCTTGGGGTTTTTTTTTATTTGTTGGAAGCAGAAGAAAAATTTTCCAGGGACAAAGGATGCAAGACTTCACTGCTTCTGAAGCTGACAAAATTCATCCCTTCGAAATGAGGGTCTTAGACTGCAACGTGCATTTCTCTGAATATTTCAAAAATCTTAGAGACAAGATGTTTGATATTCTGCTACTAAGTCATCACAGTTACAGATGTGGTGTTGGCTACATATAACATGCAATGCAAAGAAGTTCAGAAAACATGCTGGCTATAACGGAGTACAAATCATTATCCCAAAATGAGGGGGTGGGAGACTGGCAAAGCTGACAAAACAATTAACCTATGTTTGTAATAAACCAGCACTAATTGGTAATTTGCCAGACAAAGATGCAAGAATGCTGTTTCTGCCAATGATCTTCTGAAGACAATCACCTTTCCTGGGCTAACTGTGCATTTAAATATCCATCCTCTAAACCTCTCTATAGTTTTCAGTGGTGGCTGTGACAATCTGAACGAAGAAACTAGAGAACAAAAACAGAGGTGAGAGTTCCACAAGGACGTATATCCTATAGCTACTCAATCCTGCACATGAAACCAAGTGGAATACGGATAACTCAGATCCCCTGGGAGGAAGAAAGGAATGGAATCTGCTATTTACTGAAGCTAAATCTTATAGGGAAATAGACCCTCTGACAGTTCTGGAACAGAGCTGGAGGCTATAGCCAATAACACACGTAGCAGAGTAGGCTATGAGAAGACAGACCCAAGGTCTTGAAGCCCACAGCTACTGAGGATGTGCAGAAGTTTGAAGTAACAACTTCTGCAACTAAATTTTCACTAATCATGAGCCGACAACTTGATGCACCAGTAGAAACATGTGTCTCGGAGATCCATGGGTGGAATTCAATGATTACAGACAGAAGGGACATGATCTGAAAGTAACTTCACAAGATTTTACAAATCTTTTGGTCACTGATGATATGTGATGGCGGCACAGGCAGCAGACAAAAAACAGGTTCTTGAAGAACACAGCTGAAAAACGCAGAGAAAGTGAACAGGATCATGACTGCCTACGAAATGAAAGATAAGCAAATGAAGTAAGAAAAGGAACAGCTACATCAGAGAACTGCATTTTGGACAAATGAAGTATTCAGTATTCAGTCATATGCGTGAGTGGAACAGAAATAGAAAAATGCGTGTTCTGTCTTATGAATTCATGCCTGGAGCAAGCGATAGTGAAACTAATGGGGTATGAATATAACTATTTCATCTCACAATTTATCTGGTCTTGAATGACAGGAAATATGCACAATCCAAGAGCGAACATGAACACAATCATTTCAAGAGAAAACATTTTCCCCCTCTGACACTGTTTCTTCTGTCAGCCATTGGGTTGATCACTATCTACTTGCCAACACATGAGAATGATCTCTTGACACTGACTATACAGGCTAGAAATGACAGGGGAGCTGTGGAATAAAAAAACAGATCAAACAGGCTGTTAAAATCCAATCTCTGAGGGCTTTGATACAAACAACAGGAGATTTTGTACCTTTTGAGAATTACAATCATACCACCTACTGTTTGACAAGGCAGAAGTTGCAAAATACTGAGTTTTCCTTTAACCTGGCACCAAGAAAGAGCCAGAGCTGAAGCTGCTTCCTGTTCATTTTAGGGATAGGTGGATCTTCCCTCCAATACATTTTCCAGCTGCTGATGTTGTTTTCTAACACAAGCAAATTAATTTTCATAGCATCAGGCAAATTTTAACTGGAGTGCTTCACAAAGCCACTATTGCAATTGATAGGAGCCACCTGGGCCTTAGGGTTCAAGCTTGGGTCTGAAAACATCAGCCAATTTAAAAAGTTTATAAAGCCTAAACAAACAGAAATCAAAATAAAAAAAATAAGCCACACAGAACATAAGCATCCAACAGTGAAACATAAAGACAGATTTAAAATCCTATCCAATATAATGACAGCAAATATTTTGGGAGTGTGAATTAATAACTGAAAATATAACCAAAACAAACAAATGAAATGACTTTATTCAAACCAATCATGTTTATGGCTCTGTGCCAAAATTCAAGATGGCAACCAACACAGATGTGTCCAGTCATATGTTCTAATATTTTCCTCTGCTGATGGTTGCCATGTGATGACAGCAGAGAATCTTGGCTGTTACCAGACTAGGACAGACTGAAATGGCTGAGCAAATGAGACTTTATGTTCAAACTTGAACCTTAGGAAGAACAATACAGACAGCTGGAGGACCTCTGTCTTATAGAAAGATCTCATAGTGATCAGGAAGAGGTGGGAAAAAGGGACTCCAAGACTCAGCAGCAGAAGCTCTCAGAAGCAATCATTCACCTCAGCTTGCACGTGTATCACCAGCTTCCACAAATGTTCAGGTACTCTCCTCAGTAGGTTGTCCTCTCACCAGGGCCTCCTCTTCACTCTATATGGGAGTGTGGTGGTATGGAGTCACTGCTGCTGCTTCCTTTGCCCCATACTTGAAGCAGCACCCTGGATCCCTCACCTGGTGTTCAGTGTTAGTCCTTCTCTGCAAGCAGAGGCTGGAAAAAACACAAAGCAAAGATTTTGAGTAATCATGGGGGACTGTTGTGTGGGAAAAACTGCTGCACTGCTCTGCAAATCTCAGCCATCACCAGAAATTTATAGAGATAGATTTTAATTCTACATACTGCGACACTTTCCTAGTTAGGCATGTTATGGGAAAAAGTCAATGTCATCTTCACTTCTTTAACCTAAAAATCCTTAGACAGTCCTTTAAAAAGAAAAATCCAAAACACTTAGAAATGTACCAAGTTTATTTTGGACAGTTTGCATTTTACAGCTAATCTAGTAGGTAAAGCTTGTCCTGTGTATTTAGCATATCAGCTTGCTCCTAAATGTGAGTGACATCTGTTGAGAGGTATTTATTAAAAATATTGCTATATTTTAAAAAATACGCTCTCCTTGAAAGCCCAGCATAGAGCCAAACATCACACAGCATAGAGGATCTGGAAAGATGTTTAGAAAGCAGGATTGCCAGCTATGACACTGCACAGAAAGTTTGGAACGTGATTAGGAACCAAACTGTCAACCATGAGTATTAAGATAGGATACCAGTCCAGAAACCTATCCCTTGGCAATATGCTGAAATTAAGGAAACAAAGGCACATGAGAGAGGCAGCCAACTTCAACCTCATCTTCCTGTTTTGAAGAGACTTTTGAGCCTTCCTTTTCCTACAGAAATGCACAGTACAGTTTGTCTTTTCTCACAAACTGAATTAACATCACTTGGTGTGAGTTCCTCTTGTATGGCTACCTTGAGGACTCAACACAGAGAGGGGCATTCCTATGGCTACAAGCAAATATGTAGGTTCCTACCATGAGTGCAGCTCATGGCCAATTCAATAATTTCATAAATATTAATGTATATAATTCTATGAAGTTTTACCATTTCAAAGCTACTGGTGAGCATTCCACCTCCTTCTACTTGAGTAGGTTGAGGTTCTGGTTGAGTAGGGGGGGACAGAAAAAACCCTCATTCCTGACAGCAGCCAACATTAACTGTTGATTCTCCCTAGTGAGAAGAATCATTGCAGTGAATTACTATATACAACAGAATGAATCTCCTTTATTCTCTGCCTGCCAGGAGGTGTTAAAGTATCTGCCTATATGTCTGTCCACATGTTTACATATTATTATGTCATGCATGACTGCACCTCAAAAACTTTAACACTTTTGTACTTAGAACAGTTAACATAGGGGGAAGAAAAGGATTACCTCCATTTTATGGATATGATTCTGAGTCACAAGGAAATCATGGGAGTTGTGTAAAGTCATTTACGGGATACCTGCACACTAAAATTCAGTGCCATATAGACTTTCCCAGCACAGATGTACACAGCCTTCGTCATACACCAGCACCTAATCTACTCTGCTTCCAAGCAAAAAAGAGCCGAGCACTAAGCTAGATGACAGTACTGGGTCAGGGACCCATGCTAGCATTTTTTAGAGCTAGTTTGGGCTGTTTCATCATACCCACAGCAAGTCTGTGGCAGAACTGAGAAGCATGTTGAAGCCTCCTGAATCCAGTGTTGAAAACACTTGCTCCCTGAAAAGCTCTGATAATCCTAGAAATTCAGATTTTTTATCCCAGAGCAGTGGGAATTTCTAATCCTAGAGTGATGCCCAGCATTCTCTTGATAATATATAGTGCAACTAAGAAAGGCAATAAATAGATGGGGTTTATTTATAACCATGGGTGACTGACACTAGCAAGCCAGGACAGCTGACAACAGAAGGCCAACCTTCCCTCCCCCATCTTTTGGGCACAGTTTCAAGTTGGCTTGCTGGACCAGGCAGGCAAGGGAAAGCAGCAGTTCCAAGTCATGAAAATTTACTTGGAGGCAGGGGGTGACACAAGCAGTACACACAACTGTATTAGAGTGAAGTCTCCCTGCTTGAAAAGAGCAGTGAGCAGCCTCATTAACAAGTGGAGAAATAGCAGTGGAAGCCAGCATGAGCCTTCCTGCTCCCCATGTTATAGAGAAGACACTTGGTGGGCTCCTTACCCTGACTGCTAATGCCCTTCTGTATTTGAGAGCCTTCATTCCGATTTCTCTTATTCAGCTACCTAGTCCCTGGTTTGTTGTAGCTCTCTTCTCCAGCTCTTCCCCACATTTCATTTCATAACTTCAGACACTCCTTTTACCCTATTCACACACATTTTGGTTTCTATTTTTAGTCTCAATAAAATAATGCCAGATTAAAACAAAATCCAATTTGGATGGGCAAAGTCATCCTCTCTATAGGAAGCTTAATGCCAAAGGGCCAGATGTGAGACAGAAGTAGCCAAGATATTATATAACCTCTCCCCAGTCTTTGCACACCTGATATTGAATGACATTTCCAACACAGCAAGGAAATACAGGCAGTTTGCCATCATGTAACTACTGAGAACAAGCAATGCTCAGCCTCCAGTCAGGCAAAAATGCCAACTGCCTGAAGTAATTACTTATCCTGCTTTGGAGTTTTCTTTGAGTCTGTCAGAAGTGAAGGCTCCTAAAACTCAAGCTGGGTTCTAGTTCTTAAACAGGTAAGCCAATTTCTAGAGACTGTCCCTTCCTTTTTCTCCTGCTTTCCCAGTGGTGCCAAGACTTGGAATGTCCTTTCAGTGGAATGAGACCAGTAGCAACAGGAAAAAGCTCCTTCCTTTCATAAAAGAAAGGCAAAAGGTTGACTAAAGGTGTGAAAGGCAGGCTGCTCTCACAAGTTAAGGAATAAATGTCATTTCTGATCATTAGAAATGAACACTGACCCTCAGCTCTAGCTGAGAGGCGATGGCTGAGTTGGACATTATCTTCTTAACACCATCTGAGAAGGGCCTGGAATGCTGCTTTTGGCAGAGCTTTACACTCTGATGGGATTTAATGAGACTTACACAGTTTTCTGATAACTGGATAAACTGGATATTACTGCTGTTGACAAAGGCTGTATACAGGGTGAGAGGCTGCACTGGAAAAGTTTGATGCAAGGTGCCGGATATCACATTGCTGTTCCCTTTCAGTGACCCACCCAGAGCTTCTCAGCCAGACAGGTGGTTCAGGAAGGATTTATGTAGAAGAGCACATCATTACTCCACTCCTGGACTAGGATAGATAATGAGGTGACATCAAAAGTTGCTCTTTTGTGTCATAAGATATCTTGTGCCTGAGTAGCCAAAGAAATCTGAGGTAGAGGTTACTCGAGGTGCCCATTTGAAGGTCACCTTTTGAAGTCAAGACCACTTGTGCAGTCAGTCACAGCAAGAGAGAACCAGGAGGGTGGCAAATGAAGACTGGAATTAGCAGGATTAGTGGGAGGGAGAAGGCATACCAGCAATGTACTGTGCAGAAACCTGAGTGATTTCTTTTCCCAGCTGCTCCTGATGAAGGATTTGGACAGTGTGGTGAGACCAGCTGAAATCATAGCCAAGCTTCCTCTTGGGAATGTGGTGACAACATAAAAATAAATACATTGGTGTTCAACAATCTACTGCCTTCCGTGGCTGCAGGGGAGCCTGGCAGAAGCTGAGGAAGCCTGGACAAGGCTGGGCAGCTGGGAATTCCACCCTACTGTAGCAAATGGCTGGGAGTCTGACACAGGCCATGCACAGTGGCAACAGTACATATCCCAGCCCATCCTATCCCATCCCATTGCCACCCTTTACACTCCAAGAGAGTTGAGATGCTAAAATAATCTCCAAATCCCAGGCATTTTCTTTGTTTAGATCTGGCAAACAATACAAAGTGATTGTATGCGTCTTGTTTAAATGCCTGTTGTGTTTACCTGCCTTTTTTTTTTGTTAATTTTGCTGGTGCAGGACAATTTTGAAGCTTGTATTTTTGCATACCTGCTAAAAGAATATCTTCTTTTCTTTCCTTAATCTTACATAAAAGAGGCTGCATTTCAGGAATAGTGTTAATTCAAGCAGTGGGTAGACAACAGCCAGTCACAGCTTAGCACCTCCAACATTAACTCTAATTTCAGGTCTCCAATAACAAGACATGCATGACCTTCTTATGAAGGACCATACAATAATCTTGGATATAAAAAACTTTAGAAATACACAGTCTACCTGTAGATTTCCTGTAAAATGAAAAAAATCTGGAGTGTGCTAGATGCAGAGAAGAGTAAGTGCAAAAGTGCTCCTTACTAACACTAGTTTGCAAGCAGGCTCCATTCATCGCTCTATACCGGACCACACTGCTTGCTTGCACATTCATCTTATTTGGATGGTGTTCAGACACTGCTCTCCACCTTAGCCTAAAGAAGGAAATCACTAGAAAACTAAGAACAGCAGCCTGCCTTCTACATGGATTAGATCCAAACCAGCTTATTAATCCCTATATTCTTCAACTAGTCTCTTGGCAGTTCAGGATGCAGTTTTAAGCCCTTACAGATGATGATACACTTTATTTCAAAGAGTTGCATACCTTCAGGACTTGGCATTCATGCAGATATGGGGGCCAGGTGAATGTCTAAAGTAAACAGACAATTGTGCATTATCCTGCAACTAAGCTCAGATAAAGACCTGGGAATCACAGCGAATAAAATCAAGTCTATACCACCTAGCTCAAGAAGTTTCCTCCCTAGCTTCAGATTGAGTTTTGACATTCACCTTCTGTATGAAGTATTCTCAAGAGAACTAGAATACAAATAAATTCATTTTGGACTCATGCTTTAAACCAGACTAGGTAGAGATCTGAGACTTCACTGCTGTCAAACTCAGATAGCATATTACTAACTCTTACCTCCCCTAATCAGTAATGCTTTTTTCTTCTCCCAGCACACGTAGTGGAAAAGCCATGTGGACACTAGTAATATAAACATTATCACATTAAAACTGCCTCACTGTTAATCAGTCTGAGTATGAAAAGGTGAAAGTCCTGTCAAATCTGGAGCCAGGCATCAGTTTTAATCGTGATTCATATTTGTTTGTAATTATATAGGTTATTAGCACATTTTATTTTCACCATAGCAAAACAGAACCCCAGAGGCATTCTGTCTTCTGAAGCTTTTAAAATAAAAATTTCACAAACTCTCAAGAAGTTGGCAGCAAACAAAAGAGAGAAGCACAAAGACGGAAGACAGATTTCACTCATAGCTGCTGTTACCTTTACCTTTGCCAAACCAAATAAAATCAGCTGGGGTCATCACCCTGTGCATCCACTCCACAACTGCACTGAGGGGTTAACTATACTTTCAGATTGTTCCTGTCTCCAGCTCTTACACACAAGAGTCCAGCTCAGAAACAGAGAAGCTGCTGTTATATTTTCATAAAGTGCCCTTCATCCTCTATTCTCCCTAAAATCTGCTTTGTGTTAGCATTTTCAAAAAGGAAGAATAATAAATATAATAAATTTCTAACTATGAGGTCTTCCACATAGCTACAGAACTTCCTTGATGTTTCTTGCCAGTTGTTCAAAAGCTAAATTCTGGTGGAAAAATGACACCTTTTTTACCTAGAACTTCACTTTCTTGAGAAAAAGAATTCATGCACTATTCACCTAATGCCACTAGAGAGGAGCAGAAAATAAAATAGCAAAATATGGCCAAATGTCTCCATACACCTTACATTGTTAATATATACACTAAAAAAAATGACCAGCCTGTAGGTTCCTTCCTTCATCATCTGAACTCGCCATATCAAACACAGCCTCATAAAGACAACCTGGAACTGAACAACCCACCATACTATTTAGCTTATCCATTACTCAGCAAGCTATATTCTGAAGAAGAGTTGGAAAAGATAATTGATTTCTTAGCTTACAATCACCATATTTCACTAATACTAACTGAATTGCTAAATTCCATGAAGCAGGAAACAATCAGTGTAATGCTGTGGGACCCTCAAAGTAACACAGAATAAAAAACCCAATGTGGTAATGGCTATATTTTCAGAATGACTGACAACCCACTAGCGGCTGGGTGATCAATTTCAGTGAAAAATCAGGTCAGAAGCATTTGAAGTTCCCTAGAGGTAGTAATTCTCAGTATTTCTTTAATAGAATAAATCCTGTTAAACTTCCAGGAACTTTGATAGGAAACTGTCTGTTCAGACACTACAAATAATCCCCAAATGATAGCTTGCAGATTTAGCTTCCTGTCTATAGATACTCACGAGAATCTCTGCCTTCTCTCTCATTACGCCAATGGCACACAGCTCACACACAACTTCTGCCTCTCCATGAAATGAGGATGAGGCTATAGGGACGAGAGGCTGCCACGCTTTCATCGTACTGGTAGCTTGTTTCAGAATCCTGAGCTGCTTTGCACAAATGCTGACTTTTATTCTCCCTTTTATTTCATCTCAAGGGATCTGTCCTCAAGAGCTTGAGCCCACTGCACAACAGTATCTACAACTGGTATTCTCCTACAGTTGCAGTACTAACGACCAGTGAACTGTTTTCTGGACAACCTGGTTAAAAGTTTCCATACTGCCTGACTCTCCCTTCCCTTGACTCTCTCATCCTTACTTTTTGTTAGATCATTTGTGACACCTTTATGCTGCTTCTCTGCAGAGCCCCATAGCTATCCTCAGATAGGCTGTTAGAGGAGAAGGCCTATTCAAGCTTCTCGGACATTTTTGAACATTTGCGTGTGTGTTTATACAGAGGTTCTGCCTGGTTCCTCTTTTATCTCTGCAACTTTTCACAGCCTTCTATCTTTAAATGCTTGCAGTTTATTCTGTAATCTGCTTTATGACTTGTGTCTTCAACCCCTCTAGTTGGTATCTAGGATACTAAATACATATGAAACAGTAACCCCAAATAAGCTGCTGATGAGGAAATCAGGGCCCTCGTGTAAGCAATCAATGGAGAGAGTGAAGAAGAAAAACAGCTGTTCCTGCAGGAAGGACCAAAGTAGTTTGAGACACACAGACTGGGCACAGCAGCCTCTGATGCATACCAGTGGCTTGGTGCAAAGCTGAAGAAAATATCATTCCCCAGTTTCCAAGAACAAACATTTTGCTTTAGTTAGTTCAATCACCACAATATTTAGCACTGTTCTTGGAGCTATATACCTCTTCTAGTGACAAGGAAGCTTTGAGTGACCCACCCACCATTGTTCTGCTAGCCTACCCCTAGCCAAACTAGGGTTCTATCTAAGCCTTCACACTCTTAGCTAAATGGCAGGCTAAACCCTTTGTTTCAGCTTCAGAGAGGATAAGTTTAGTACAGTGCAGCTAGCCTAGTCCTACAGAAGGAAACATGAGCTGAAGTTCTCAGTTCTCACTGGATGATAAGTCTTCCCAGAGAGGGTGACTACCCTGAACTTTGTATTTGTTATCTAGCCTATATTCTTCCTGCAGCTCTGGCTGTTGCCTTCCATCATTAATATTATCAACAATCCTCACACATGCTCTGTATAAATATTCACAGAAACAGGGAAGGATAGAAAAATGCTACCTACAGTTATCACAGACACATGTAACAACAACAGTACCCAGAGGAGATGGAGAGAATCTCTTGCAGAGCTTAAAATTACAGGCTAGCAACTGTGAGAGTGCTCTTAAAACTGTGAAAAAGAAGGCAGAATTCAGCACACAAACACCATCATGTAAGTCCACTCAGCAAACCATTTTGGTCAATATATTAAGAACTACACTTTTACATTTACTTGTAAATTTATGTGTAACCTTGGTTTATATACTGTACTAAAAACAACTTGAACTATACAGTAGACCAGAACTTTTGCCTCAACTATACATATACTACAGTGTTGACATAATTTTATTTATTTTGATAATCCCATTATATTCCATTCCTACACTCTCACGTTGCAATGTGCTGTAGGGTCTTTTTTATTGACTATGGCTATTCACCCTATAACATTTCTGGTAGGATAACTGGAGTTTTTGGCAGGTGGTAAAGCGTGGGAGGCAGTTTGGAACTACATGGTAAGTGCATTAGCTGAATGTTTGTGCTAGAGGATCAGCAATAAAATCACTGACATTAATAATGGAAATGTCATCTTTAAGTTTCAGAGCTAAATATCCAGGAGGTGAATTGGGTAGTTCACCCCATGCAAACTTTTCTTTCAGCCTGTGAAAACACAGAGATTGCTGCATTAGCGATACTCAAGTAATGTTTTCAGGATTTTCACAGCAAAACAAAAGGTCAGAAACATAATTTTTTAATGCATTCTAGACCATAATTTGTCCATATATTCCATTACAGCATCATCACAAATTACTGTGGGCCATGGGTAATATGGGTTCATCAGGACTACACTCTACCTGCTAATAGGTCTGCATCAATGAAAAATGGACTGGGTCCTCATTTACTGAGACCTTAACAGCAGATAAACCTATTTGAATTAATTAGCCACTAGGGAATGATGAAAATTTGATTCTATAACTCTCAGTGATTTTCCTTTGGGAACTTTCACCTCTACTGATTGACTTCACTATGCAGCTGATTCACAAGTCTCAAGTATGTCTTTCTGAACGAGGGGGCTGTTCTGTAAGACCGAAGAAAAATGTAAAGAATGTCCTGGCCCTTTATTACAGGCCAAGCTTAAACAACAGAGCATCTTTGAGCCAAAGCCTAAAGCAAAGAGGAGCCATTTTAGCCAAGTTTTTTTTCCCAGCCACATTTTTAGGGATATTCCTCTTCTAATTCTATGAAACACAGCCTTTGCTCCCTTCTGTTTAGTCTTTTTAATCCCAGGAGGAATAAATTCCCTGCACAGCTGAACCCAGACTGTTACCTAGGAACCACTACATGCAGGGTAGGCAGCTGTGTTTCTTCTTCTTGCTGAGAAAGTTTTTTCCCTGCCAGTTCTTGAGAAAGATGAAAGCATCCCAGCATGCCCACCCCCACTTTCCTGCTCTTCGGCACTGGCACTCACCTGTGGAATTTGTCCCTGGCTCACAGGATGCAGCACTGTGAAGGCTGTTCTGGAATCTGTTCAGTTGCCTTTCAGTGGAGGTCACCCTAACAGGTAAAAGTATCAAATTAGACAGAGATAAGAAGGGATATACCAAGGAAGAATAAAAGTCTCAAACAAAAAATTGAGAATTCTTCTAGTTTACATAATCTCACTAGGATTGTGGCTATGAAGCTGTGCCTGAACATGGTACGAAAAAGGCAGTGACAGCAACTGACTCCAAAATGGCAGAGCAAGACAGATGAACACTCAAGCCACCAGCAAGACTTCGATGTGCCTAAAACAATTAATTGTCCCATGTGCCCTGGAAGCTGATTCTGGAGGATAAAGGAGATAGCAAATGGTATTGGACCACCAAAGCACAACTCAACTAGTAATGCTGTGGTCATGTTATTCCAGTGATTTGAAGTAAAACAATTAAGCAACCTTAGAACAGAAATGTACACACTAGCAAAAACATGCTACATTCAAAAGTTGAGTCCTTACATCTCAGCAGAGACAGCTCATTTAGGCAAGATTTCTCACTTGTCTTGGAAACTGAGACCCACAGGATGCATTTAATCTCCAGTAGTCCAGTGCCAGTCCTCTAGTAGATACTTTATGCAAATCCTCCTGCATTTATCTCAGCGTTTGAGTTACAGCAAAACTATATTCTGTGGAGTACAACTGCATTTCCTTTAACTGTTATAAAGATTCATTACCAGACTGAGACCATGCCCTCCTACATAAAAAATGGGTCTACTCACAAGGCAAGGTCAAACTATACAGCTGCAACGATCTATTCTGTCCTTAAAATCTATACAATTGATCCATCTATTCCTGGTTTGTCCTCTCCTCCCTTATCCCTCCTTGCCTTTTTCCTTCCTGCCCAACTCTATCTTGATCACTCCAGACTTCTGCGTGTACACTCCTGTCTCCCTGCCAGAGTCCTTCTCCTTCACTCACTCAGCTCTGCAGTGTTAGAGTTACTGTGAGCTCTTCCCCAGAAGACCACTGTAATCTCCAATCCCCCTGATGACTAACAGACCCAGGCACACATGTGCAGTTTCTATAGTTTTGTCTGAAACCTTTTGCTTTCAGATTTCGAAGTCAGCAAGTTGCCAGTAATCCAGGTGCTCCTGGCAGCTAAAAAGCCAGTGAGGGACTCCTGTATTTTATCTCAGTTGGATTTTAGTGAAATAAATTGGAGTCCATACAGGAAGGGAGAGGGATGCAGATATGACATTTGCAAAACACAACGCCTTACTTCAGCCAGCCGTAATTTGAAATGCTATTGTCAAATGAGGTGCCTGTTTCTATGTTTGTCATCTCTTGGAGAGAATTCTGGATCTGTACTTATGGTTTCTTTTGCTGCTGATACTGCATGGTCCTTCTGGGAGCTGAGAATCCAGACGGATCTTTATGCCTCTTACATAGAGATTCCATACTCATAATTAGCTTGTCCACTTTGTTAACGCAGCACAACTGACAGCCAAATTCAGCTCACCCTTCTGTAGGTAGAATGCAGACTAGTGGTTGAAAATATCATCAAGAACGCCAGCAAGTACAACAACAACAACAACAAAAAAGCAAGGAACAGTCACACTTCTACCTTCAAATGTGGTTTATGTTTAGAGAATCTCTTTCTGTCTACAGACTTGCCCTCCTTCTTTTCTGCCTCCCCACAGTGTACCTTGATTCTTGCAGTTTCAACTGTCACCTCCACATGGCTCATTCTCAGATGTGCTTCTGAGTCATTGATCTCCCACCATGCTAAGCTGACACCTCAAGTTCTCTCTGCTGTCCTGATGGAAGCTCCAGTGCCAGAACATATTCACTGCTTAAACTGAGTTAATCCTTTTCCACTTTCTTCCTCCTTGGGTTGGCTGAAACCCTACTGCCTTTCTCAGTTTCCTGCTTTTAATGTCTGTGTTGTTTTTGCTTCCACTTCTCCAATGCAATCCATTGTTATGTTCTCCATTTGTTCTTCAATACTAACAAAAACACTGTCCCCACTGTCCCCTCCACTTAAATATCTGTCACTGCCCTTTTCTATCTCTTATGCAGCTAACCCCTCCTTGAAACTGATATTGACTTCCTTCATTTAGGCACTAAACCAGCGCCAAGCTGCCCAGCCTTGGACTGCAAATTTGAAGGATGCTTTTGTTCCACAGGTGACAAAGAAATACTTTCTTGACTAAATTTTGAGCACCTTTGTTTTAACAACCTATTCCTGGGATATTACGAATGCATCTAATGGTCCAGGGGGGACAGAACTGACACTAAGAAATTCACATCACAAAAAGCTCAGGTTTGACAAGAGGACAGCAACAGATGTGAAGACCCAGAGCCAGGGAGGCTTGTTCCTCTTTGTTACTCTTGGACAGGGTATCTCTGCATGTGTATCTGTGTGTATGATCTGAGGCTAGCCAAGGGCTAAGAGCTACAGGCCTAGTGAGCCCAGCTGTGTCAGGGTGTTAAATCAAGGCATGCCTCTCAGATGCACTGCTTTTCCTGCCAAAAATGTCTAAGGGTCAGGCAGCCTGATTAACCCAGATGCTCAGGAGCTAAAAAAACAAGTGTGCCGCAGTACAGCAGTAGCAAAAAAGTGAAAGGGGTTCCAGTAACAGTTACATGCTTGCTCTCCTGCTGCCTGTCCTCTTTTCAGTGAACACTCAGTCTGTATGTGTGATGTACCTGGCACACTTAAGACACTTCACGCATGCCTATGAATAAGCGCACATGGGCAAGACAGGTACAAACCAGAACCATAGTGTTTTACAGGGCTCGCTCTGTGGCCATCATTCTACTTTTGGCACATTTGCCAGGCTTGGCCAGCCTCTCCTAGAACAGCTGGCTATTGCTGTATCCAATTGCAGTCAGGACTCCACCCCATCATGGGATGGATTTCCTGAACCCTGGAGAAATGCACCACCTCTACCCTATTTCTGTACTAGCTACAGTAGAGCAGAACTTCGGCTCTTCTGCTGTTGGCAGAAGTAAATATATATTTTACATGCAAAGTAAATATACAAAAGAAGAACAAGGTAGAAAGACTTTGTGCTGTGGTGTTGGGACTTGAAGGGAGTATTTGTTTCGAACGGCTTCCTGAATAGAGTTGGTGGGAATGACATTTACAGAGAAGTTCAGTACAAGAAATTACGCCATGTTGATCAAAATCCCCAATAGTTTGTGATGTTCCAGTCTATTGATGGTAAACTCGGTGATCTTCTTGGGCTCCCTCTCTCCCGCCCTGATAACATCTTGAACTATATGCTCCTTTTCCTTACCTGGCATTTCCTCTCTTTATATACAGTGGTCTAACATTGACGCTGAATTTTTCTGAGATCTTTTCTTTGACTGATACTTCTGTTCACAGGCTGTTCAAGGCCTTGCTCTACTTGATGCTGACATAGTTAGAGAGCAGGTTTCTGAAACGTTACTATAGGAATGATAGCGCAGAAATTTGTATTTATTGTGACTTGGTCATTCCTAAAAGCAGAAAGATTTTCTGTCTACCACCTGTACTAGTTCAGTCTGGGTTCTGACAGTTGAGCTAATATATTTTTCTACTTTGCATGCTGTCATCTGTAACGTGAAGATTCGATACACCAAATGCTGCTTCCAGGGACATCTGCTTCATTCCACGGCTTACGAATACTATATCTGTGTTCTCTGTCTCAAAATGTTGCTCTCAGCTATCAGCAGGTCTGTTCATGGCTCATAGACCTGCCAATAGAAGTGGCAACATGAGCAGTGGAAAGGACCCAGTCTGACTCTTGGAAAGAAAGAAGAGCTTGTTGTGTTAGCTGTTCAAAAACTATCTTTCTACTTGTGATATGAGCACATTTAATCAAAACTATAGAGCCCCTTGAGACCATTTTATGGAGCTACATTTCAGCATAGAGCTACATATTAAACCATTTCTCCCAGTTAGTCTTTTTCCACACCTTAATATGGGCCCCAGTTTTCCACTCTGTTAGCTTAAGCAAGGAGTCTGCTTTGGACACAATCCATTATAAAGTCAACCTACCACCTTTTACAAGTTGAGAGACTGAGAAAACAAGAGAGGCCAGGAACTGAAAAGACAAGACTGAGTTGTCTGGCTGTTCCATTACTTTTTTCCTTTATGTTTTAACCAGGGAAGTGTCCAAGTTACTAGATAGTTTTTGAATTAGTCAGTAATGTTCATCTTTAGCATCTCATTCTGTTTGTAGTTGAGTTTTCTGCTTCTTACTCTTTTCTTCCTCTTCTGGAAGCCACGTGTGCTGGCTGGGGGAGAATTGATAATGCATGCAAGGAAGAGATAGGTCAAAGAGACAAAGTTGATTTTAATTTGTCTTCACAGTCCAGTCTCTGGAGAAATTCTACTAACAACTTTAAAAAGATGATCTTAATAAAGATGTTAAACAAAAGCCAAGTGGTGCAAGAGCACACAGAGAAAACAGATCTGGTTTACTGAAATATATGGGAAAAAAAAAAAGAGACATGAGAGCTTTAACAACAGAATGGGATTAGTTTCAGTGAGTCTTGTGGAAATAAAATATATAGCACCGAGATCTTCTTTGAGGAAAGAGATCAGGAAAAACAGCCAACAAGTATTAGAGGGTGAGAGTGGGCAGCAAATAAAAAATGACCTGACAGAGAAATGAAGCAGCCAAAAAGCCAAAATTAGATTAGATGTTATGGAAAGAAATATTTACCATGTCATAACCTAAGGATACGGTAGTCCCACACTGGAAAAGTACAATTCTGGGTGCCACAATGCAAGCACTCTGACAAACTGAAGAAAATACAGTAAATTCAAGACAATTAAGGACTTGGCAGGTGGAACTACTATCTGAGGTTAAGAAAACCTCAACAAGTCTAAGCAACATCAGAAAACTCCAAGAAGTAGAATGATATTCAAAAGATGGAAAGTATTTGCAAGGGAAAGTGTTTAGGATGGTTCAGGAAGAAGGAACAAGGTATAACAGGATGAAACAAAGGAAAAATTCAGATTGCACATCAGGAGAAACTTTCTGATAATAAGTTGTCTAGATTTCTTAAATAGTCTTCTGTAGCACATGGTGGAGTTTCTGCTACTGGAGTTTTTTGAAAGCAGACTACACACAGTGTCCGAGAATACTTTGTACAGAATAACCAGGGACTGTAAAGAACAGGCTGGAGCATGGAAGACATCTTTTTCTTCTCTAATCTATACTCCTTTGACAAAGAGGTTTCTCTCCATTCACTCTCCGCTGTCGATGCATCTCTGGTCTTTTCCTGACAACAATGAATGGATTAAATTAGATTGAGGCATAGCAGTTTTTAAACGATCAGCTCTCAGTATGCTGGAAATATAGCTGGGCACTGCTGTTTTCCATGTAAGTGAAAAAATGTTACTGCAATATCCCATGAATGGCAAGAATGGGTTTGGAGCCTCGTGCTGGAGACTGAAAGGCAACTTGGAAAGTATTTCCGGAGTGGCTCCTTGCAGCCTTCAATACTTGGATTAGTTTTCTGAAATTCTGAAGGAATCTTTTGCTTTTTTTCCCCCTTCTGTGCATTTTTGGTGCTGAACTTTTTCCGGTTTTCCCACACTCCTGCCTGTCACAGAGCAGAAACCACAAAAATGCAGCAAAGTAAAGTCTGTCCAAGGAGCTGCAATTTCATCTCACAAGGATAAACATTTCCTCTGCCAAGAAGTGAGCACAGCACACCGGCATCTTCAAATACACATCCCTGCTGCCCAGCAGAGAAACCCACTGACATAGCCTGTCACCTGTACTAACATGAGCTACCCATCATAAAAGAAATCAGATAGCAAGCCCACCAGCATATACCTGCCAGACTTGATGCTCACATCTGCATTTGCTGAGTTGACAAAGTCTACCAACATTTGTTTTCTTTTTAAATAGTTTTGGGGGATTAATTCAGTGTGCTGTCTCTTAAGATAGCAAGAGCACAGGCAGGAAATAAACAAGCTTCCCCAAAGCAGTTCTGTCCAATCCCCTTAAATACGCCTTGCAGTTCCAGATTTGATCCACACACTGACGGTGTCTTAGCATCTTCATAAGGTGTCTTTCATCAGTAATCTTTTACTAAAACTTCTCTCTTTAAGCAGGAAGGGAACACAGAATCAGGAAGCCTCACAGGAACGTGCTCTGAAAGCTTTACAACTCTTCTGGCTGTAGAGTAAGTATAAGGAAGGAAGTTATGAATGCGATTTTTGCCCTTCAGTATTCAGGGATGAAACAAGTCTGAGGATATATGAGGAAAAACCTGAAGAAGGATTTAGTCTAAAGCAGTTCTGTCATTTAAGAGGAGATAAACAGAGAGCTGAGGAAGCTACCAAGAAAGGTAAAGGATAAGAAGAAAACCCAGAAGTCTTGCTCACATTCTCATAATGCACAAAAGAGAAGACACACCAAGAAATGGAAAGGAAAGAAACTTAAAATCAGTAAGCAACATTTCATGGTGAATTTTTTTTGTTTTTAAAGATAACACATGCCAAATCCATCTACCTTAGAATGACAAGCACTATATAATTAAAAGCTTAGTAAAAGTTAAAAGAAGGATTTCTACAGATAATGAGGAAAACTATCATTACATTAGGCACAATATAAACACTTTAAATGAAATAAACACTGTGCTTGTAGGCATAAGTCAATCATTGTGTGTTAAATTTATGGGGAAACTTGGCTCAAGGGCAGATTAGCTTGTTAAGGATATTAGGTTTTTTTGGGGGGGAGCCTCTTCTGACCCACCAGATTCTAGCCCCCATCAGAGATTAAACATGGAGGGAGTGACGCAAGTGCCTAAACATAGATGTCTAGTACCATACTTAGTACTCTCAAGTTATTTGAGACATCTGCATGGGACTGGCAGATACAACATGAGATCTACAGAAGACTTGTGCTCATCTGGAGCAGCAGGTAGAGGTCAAGTGGAACAGCCCTGGGCATCTAAAAAGTCACTAGCAACCTGTATTTAGGTAACTGAATCCCACCCTGGATCAGATACTTCTCTGATTCAATATAGCAGTTCATATGTCCCTATGTTTGTATAATGTTACAGCCTTACCTACCTTACCATTGTGAAACGTGAAACTGCAACATAGTGCACACCTATTTCAGTACACACAGCTCAGGTTTTCTTAGATTTATCTTGGACAGCATAGCCAAAAAGATCTATGTCAGAGTCACATGTAGACAGGTTCTTCTCTGATATTCCTTCTCAGGGGAACCAGTGCCAACTCCCTGTTGCGGATAGGAAGAGATAAAACTTACTTGGAAATCCTCTGGGCTGCAGCCTTTCTGACCACTGCCTGCCTGTGGTTTGCTGGAGGCTTTGGAACCAGCTGAGAAGGCGTACTCTGGGATGGCATCACTTTGTGCAAACCGGCTGCCTTCTGGACACTAGAAGTGGCACTTGATGTCTTATGGGCATCAGAGCCAGCTGGCATAGATACATGGCTGGTGCTGGATTGCGAGTAGTTGGCAAAGAGAGTCTGGTTAAAAAAAAAAAAGAAAACAAAAAAAGTAATTGGTGATTACCTCTCTGAATATTGCTGAGAGAGCTGATGGAGGTGGGTGACATTTTTGTGAGGGATAATATCTGCCTGGTGAAGGCAACTCCAGGGGTCCAGGGACAGTCCCACGCATAAAAAGAAGCGTTAAGTGGTCAAGTCAGTGAAGTAGTTTTTAGAGCTGAATTTTATACCCTTGGAAACTGGGACTAGTTTCTAGGAAGGCAGACAAGCTCATTACTGCCACAGAATGATACTATTCTGGATCAAAAAACAAGAGGTCCTATCCTCAATCTAATATTGCAGTGGGCTCCCATCCACAAAGAAGTAAAGCTTTCATTGCTTTGAATGACTTTCTGCATTTATCTTGCTAAATTACTCTTTGTGTGGGAGGTGGGATTGAGAGACAGTTCTAGGAAAGAAAAAGGTTATGGGGAAGATGTTACAATGCCAGATCTTCAGTCTAACCCTGTAGGTGCTTGGAATAACAGAAAGAAATAACAGAAAAAGGGACTTTAGGTCAGCAGGCTGACAAAAAGGAAATCCCCAGTAATACCAGGGAACAGAAAATATTTCTATTCCTATAGCAGGTGGGAGAGTAAGTATGTTGGAGATTTGTCACAGGGAACAAAAGAATCTGCATGCTATGAGACACTGGAGAACTGAGCAGAGGACTGGCAAAGTAGGGAGTGGGGAATGGTTCCCTACGGGAGCTCTGCAAACTGCTCAACTCTTTTCAGAAAGGAGCAACCTGCTGGGAGTTCTGCCTTGTCTTTCCTCGAAGTCAGTCAGCTTCCCAGGGCAAAGAGGCAGTACCGTAACCGTGTAGTTTGGCAGTTAGAGGTCAGTGATAGGAGATGAGGGGAATAGCTGAGCACTTGCCAGTCACCTCAGTGTGACCCTGGGAGCAGTGCTCTTCACTGCGTTTGTCCTCAGTTTCTTCTCTGGTGAAAAACAACAAAGCCACAGCGAGCAGGCTCCAGAGAAAACCACAGTCTGAGGGCTGGCTGAGTCTCAGCACACAGACAGGAAAAGCCCCTCTCCCCCGCAATTCTCTGGCAAATGGCAGGGCAGTGGTGTATGGGAAGGCGTTTCTGACAGGCAGAGCTCTAGGGAGAAAAGGAAGTGCAGGAGCCAAAACAGGCCTGTTTCCTAACTAGAGCTCACTGACAAGATGCCCTTGAGCTCCCAATCCTTCTTAACCTCTCCCTTCCCTGAAGCTCTACCTTGATCGCAGCTTTCAGATTTTTAATAAGTAGCTGGTACAAGCGCAGAAGTCTGGAAAATAGCAGTCACACCCCACCTCCCCCCAGCAAAACAAACTAAAATAGAACTTGGTTTCGTCTCTTGCATCTTGGAGTCTGACACATCATGGGGTTGGGATGGAGAGCCTCAAGTCACTGCACCCCCTTCTTATTCAGAGGTGACACTTCATTGTGCTCTGTTTGATATTACGCATATTTCCTGTAAGTTGTTCTTCTTGTTATTAAAATGACTAAGATCCTGGAGTCCACAAAGCATACAGTCTTAACCCCCTTCCCTGTGTTAACATGCATTAGCAAGGAGGTCCATGACTCTGAAGAAACAGCAAGCATGGATGCTCTACCAAAGTCTGATCAGCAAAAGCTGGGTTGAGACCTGCCTAAAGAAAGGTCATGGATGTTTTTCTTGGGGGTAACGGACTTCCAAAAAGGCCTTTGTCTCCATGCTGTGCTGAGATTCTGGCTGCCTTCCAGGCAAGGATGGGGAGACTAGAAGCTGACATGGACCATGACTTCTGGATTCAGCTATAAAGCATACTGCCCTGCTGTGAACTCCATGGGGATAAGACAGGAAACCAGGAGAAGCTACTGTGCAAATAAAGAGGGCAGCTGGGGAGAGCAGAGCCTGACCACACAAAGGAAGGGTTGGGAAGAGATTTCAGCACATCCAAAAAGTAGGAGACAGACCTCATCACTCAGGATTCTGAAGGCTCAGGATCTAGGGAGAGCAGAAGCCTAGACAAACCCTGACAGAGGCAGTCCTGAAGCAGGTAGCATTCTACAACTATTGCTGCTGCAAGTAAAAAACTTTGGCAGATTTAACTTGACGTTGAGGAGACATCTGCTTCCCTGACAAGTTCTTAGGGCTATAAATCTGAAAAATACTTAGAACGCTATGAGACCTTTTAGCTAAAAATCATGTAAAGCATTAGTAAGTTAATTCTGTTGCATAATTCTCTGGGCAGGTAGGACAGCATTAACCCTGTTTTGCACATGAAGAATGTTAGCACTGACAGAGAAAGTGATTCTCCCGAAGCCACAGACTGAAGAAATATGAAAAGCTAGGTTGAAAGCCCACAGAAGATCCTGACTCCCAATCCCATATTTGCCTCATTAGATCACACCTCTCCTTGCTTCCACATCTACACATGAACACCATACACAAAGTGTTATCTGTACAAAAATGGCAGTTTTTAATTAGAAAATCTCAACATGTACAGCTTGTCAGTAAGGATGATGCACATCTAAGAGTATTAGCCAGTAGCAGCTGAGCTCGGGCTACTCATGATTAAAAGCAGGGAGGTACTGTAGTGCTTTGAAGAAAAGCAAATATATTAATGATCTTCAAAACCAGAAAGAATGTTCCTGGCACTTACCATCCCTGTATCTAACACCCATCCCTAGCACAGTAACGGAACAAATGTTACAAGCAAAAACACGTTCATTCTATGACCCGAGGAGGTAATGAAGCTCATTTCCCGTGAACCTGTCTTGGGGCTGAATCTTACAGTACCTAATATAAAGCATGCCCCAAATTATGCCTCGCTTCACGGGTTTGGGGCATTCTCGTGTTGATTTTCTGCTGTCTAATTAGGAGTGGCCTCATGCAGCAGCCTTTGCCTTACTGGGAACAGTAGTTGAATCCCCTTTTCAGATATGTAGCTCTTTATTTTCATGAAATGTATATGAAACATAGGTTTGAGATTTCTATCCCATAGTCATTCAGTTTAAATTGGATCAGCAAGTCTGAAAACGATGAGAGATTCAGCAGTGTATGAGAACTTACAGACAGATGCACACACACATGTACTGCATAAAGATCTGTGCAGCTAGTTCCAAATCACTAGCGCTGGAAACTGAGATGTTTATAAGCAATAAACAATGATGAGGATTTAAGTTAAAAAAAGAAAAAAAAAAGCAAACCTAACAAAATAAAACCCACCCCTTTTAGAAAAGCAACTGCATTTCAGATGACATTGCAAAAATACAGCAAATTAAAAGCCTTGGAAGACCTTTGGAGTCATGCAAATTGTTTAGTGGAGATTCTTTTGAACACATATTAATGCAGTTAAATTCAGTTAAATCAGTTTGGATGCAACAATAAGTTGAGTTGAAAATTCACAAAGTGGCAATAAAAAACAGGCTCAAAATGTACTATTAACTGCCATAGTGTTAAACTGCAGTAAGAGGAGCATCTTAGGGTCATCAAGAAATTTAAAGAAAAGCAGCAAATTCATGGTATGGACAGACTGTCCTGAGGCATGTTTTGCTTGGTAAATTCTTCAGAACAAGACTAAAATATACTAAAATAAGTTGACTTGGTGCTGCCTTCTTTGTCTCTCTTTTGGTACTGGGAGCTCTCTGGGGCAAGGATTGGTTCATATCATTGTAATGGAAAGATACCAAATACATCTGGATGTTACTAATAATTCTAATAATAATTAATAATAAATAACAATTCTAATAATAGTGACAGGATCAGAAACATGGGGACAAAATTTCAGCTGGTATAAATCAGCACAGACTACTGCTTTCAGAACAGTTGTTCTGCTTTACTTAGACTGAGACTTTGACTCATCAGTATCACAAGACTCAAATAGGAAAAATGGTAGTTAGCACATTTAGTGGGAAAACAATCTGAGGGAGAAAGCTGCAAAACAAGAATGAACAAGAGACTGAAGGGGAAGAGAGACTGCAAATCTGACAGCAGTCCAATATATAATAGTTTAGAAAACAGTTTAATGATGTTTAAGGCTGCATTCAAAGAGGCCCTGGGTCCTCAGGCAGGAATAATGTAGTTCTAGGAATACTAGGAATATTATTCTGAATACTCAACATTCCCAGTCAGATCCAAATAAGCTGTAGGAAATTCAGAAGAGAGTCACATACATTAAAAGAAAAAAAAATTTGCTGAACTTCGTAAAATGAGGAATATTTCAGAGAACATACCATTTTTAAATGATTGAGAAAATTATTTAAGATTAACTTAGTCCAATATTTTATAGCATAAAATCTACTCAAAATTCTGATTGAAAATGTGATCATAACTGACCACACAACTCATTAACATGATTTATGTCTTGTTTAACATGAGCTTTTTTGATATAAGCAGGACCGATGTGGATCATTCCACTATACGATTGTACTTTTCTTGGTTTAATTTAGCTTTTTTCCCCATGTGAAATGTTTGGCATAAAATTCTAAACCCAGTAGATGCTAAGCTAAGCAGACAGAACATAGTCATACAGAGAAGGAGGAACCTCCCTAACAGCTAATGGCATCTTTCCAGTACAGGAAACAATTAGAGAATAAACAATGATGGTATATTAACTGCCTTGCCAACTGCAGCAGTGATACTAACATCTAGGTCATAACGTGTCACATGAAGTCTCCTTTAAACATTAAAAATACTGCTATAAGCCTGTTTTTCTTGTTTTTTGGTTTGATTTTGTAATTCTTTTTCCTTGATCTTGTTGATATCAGATTTAAGCTTCTTGTCTCCACTTCCAAACTCTGCCCCTTTCTATTTTTTTTCTCTTTTCTCAGGCTCTGTATTGTCTCTGTTCCTGCGCCCTACCACTTCATCCATTTGTTGGTTAGATTCTCATCCAATCAGTTTGGTGTCTTTCTTTTTGTCCAGGGAATGAAGTACCTATTCTGGCATCAAAGATCTATTTCCACCATACTACACTGCGTGAACTAACTTCCACATACAATGAGTGAAAATTGTTGGTTATTATTCCTCTTCCTCCACCTACACTGTATTTGCTACTCTGCAAATTGTTAAATGCCTGGAGGAGAAATCATCATTCGTAAGTGTCTGGAAAGTGCTCAACCAAGAGTGGGTGCTGCCACAAAGAAGCCTTCATAAGATATATCCACTGCCATGGCAGATGGGGGTATTTCTATTACACAAATACTTGACTAGGAACTTCCATGCTTTCCAACACATCTATCTCATCTCCAACATATTGAACTGGTTAATGTACAGGCAAAAGCATTTGCCTGTGTTATTAATCGTGTTACTTGTTCACATGCTATCCATACACATACAACTAATCCATTTGTCACAAAGAGAAGGAAAGACTGGCATCTAGTCATGTTGTATGGTCATGCCATACTCAGGGTGTGCCTTGAGATATATTAATAAATGCACTTCAACTACTGACAATTGGCTAGCCTGCCTTCCAACCATAGCAAGAACATGAACAATCAGATAAAACAGGCTTGGAGATATCCTGCTTGCATTCACCAAAGTAGAGAGATCATGACACTCCTTCAAGTGATAGGCCTTCTGTTTTTGGGGATATATTTCTTCTGGTGAGAGGAGGCTGAGGAACTTGAATGTAGCAGGCAAGACAACAAAGGATGGAGTAGATCTCAATACGTGGGAAGGAACAGAAGGGAAA